AAAGCGCTGTCCGTCAGATCCTGGGTTCCAAGTGGCTGCTAGGGCCACTACATATCCTCCGAATGCTCTCTTCAGCTGCCGGTTTTTGCTGTTTTTTTGCTGACACTATTATACAGCGACACCTTAAAACGGTCAAGCAATTTGCAGGTCGCAATCTTAGTGAGGTCGCTCATCCTCTCCACTCTCGTTAATGGCTGCGAAGTCTTCCCGTACTATGCGCCGAAGGTTCCGTCATATGTCCTGCCGCATATCGGCATATCAGCATTCTACATTCTCATTCCTAGCACGCTACCTCACGTGTAAAAACGGAAATTCAGACGTTGAAAGCCGACCTATCTCTAAAAACAGATGTGAACATCGTGTAAACCTTTAGCTCTGAGTATTCTATGACCTTTTACCTTACCTTTTCCCTCGCTCTCCCTGAATGGAGCCGTTTTTGCCAACAAATATGGATATTTACATTCAAAATAAAGAATTTTTTCTCAAAAAAGTTTAACGTAAAATATGTCGGGCATTCCAAAAATAGAATTCTGCTCGATTCTGTTTAAATGATTTAGCATCTAATTATTTGACCTAGTCTTGAAAAACTCGGCGGGTTGGACGGCGGGATTTTTACCCACGTCAACAAGGAGAAGACTTTAGTACAGCCATTGCTCTAGCCACCTAAACTACAGGGCCGCACCAAGAACCATGAGCTTAATCATATTTGGGTCAAGTTGCCTGCACAGCAGCATATGAACTTCACCAATCTTGATATGTTTGAAGTGTTGTTTCCCGGGTAGGAAGTTAAAATAGGCGTAGATAGCAGGATTTTGATGTACTTTACCATACTACTTGTTTAAGTACTAGCTAAAAAACCCAGACATGTGTTACGCCGGTATTCTGCCGCTGCTTGACATAGCTGCAAGGGGTCCAGCTCATCAGTGGGTCCCCCACCTTTCTCTGTTTGCGTTCTGGTTGATATATCGGTTTTGAAGGTTCAGCTTTTTAATTTACTGAGAGATTAATTTCTAGTAGTCGGTAACTGTACACCGATCTGTTTCAGGATGTACGAATCCTGGTTGATGCCTTGTTTGTGAGCTAATTGGAACCCCAATCATATGTGTTCAACTATATAGTCCCGATCACAAACCGACAACACGAGGGACCGGTGGCTCAATGGTCAGAGCTTTCGCGTCTGGCCGGAGAGACGCGAGTTCGAAACTCGGGCGTGGCGGCAATTTCCGCCGCTACACTGGAGTTGGGCTACCATCACCTGATGACGCCCAATGAGGCAGAAAAGGTCTTCATGGATGTGCTCTGTGTTTTCCGGTAAGTACCAAATTAATTTCTGTTCGTGGTATACATCAT